TTCTAGCTTTATAGCAGCACCAGTTCTGGCGTCTTCCAAGTGATCTTTTGCCCTGCACTTTACCTTCCAATATGATTTGGAGCAATTCATATCTTTCACCTCTCAGCACATGCCCCAAGTATTGTATTTTTCTCTCTTTGATTATGCTGAGTAATTCTTTTTTGTTTAATCAAACGCCGAAGTACCTCACCATTGATAACTTTTTGTCCATGGAATTCTCAACATCCGTCTGTATATATACATTTCAAAGACATCTATTCTTTTTTCTGTTAGAGTTCATTGCTTAACTTTCACAGCCATATAGCAAAACAGAGAAAACGTAACATCTGATCATTCAAATCTTGACCTCTAGACTAAGGTCTGATCTTATAAAAAATTATGTTGATGATGATAACTGTAATTAATTATCAGTTATTATCTCTCCTATGGTGCTACAGCCCAAGTCGAGCTGTGGCCTTTCCAACGTCCTCACTTTCCTCGAGTTATCCACCCTCAATATCTCTTTAATGTTTTTCTATCATGATTCATGTTTCTGTTCCAAATGTGACATTTAGTCATATGATTGTATTATATCGTTGATTGAATAACCCAAATATTCAATCAACGATTATATATAGTGAACTTTACTTCCCTGTGGATGTCTTTGGATCCATACACCTCAATACCTACGCTAGAGAGAAGTATGCTCTGTTAGCAAGCATTATCCTTCTCCATATTTCCCCGTTAATTTTTGCCTCATCTGTTGTGCAATTTAGCAAGGTATCACAGGAGTCAACGCATTAATAATTCGTCACACCAGGACACTATATTTATCATAGATACATCATTTATCTGACATTATTTGTAATAAAATATCAAATAGGTGCGATTATTCGTCTCACCTGATATCCAACTGTATGAGAGGAAGCGAAATATAAAGGGTTAAATAGACTTGTTACATAGGTGAAAAGCACTAAGCTTTTGTCTCTATTTGATAAAAACAAAAGTCACACTAGTTAAGAGAAAACATACTTAAAATACGTGGTTTGACGGCTACATAATAAACTGTCTTTTGCACTTAATGTCTGGAGATGAATGTGAGATAAACTGCCGAGTTGCCGACTGTCGGGTCCCTTGACTGGTTCTTAACTCGTTAAGAGAAGTGAAGGTCAACACACATCAGGAATGGCGATGCAGTGTATGAAGGATACGGCTAGCAAACCAAATGAGAATTTTCCTAACAACGTTGCTGTTCTTCGCGGCAGTAACCGTAGAAACAACATAGAGAATCTCAACAATTCCGTCACAAAATTAGATTTTTAATATATACTAAAAGAAATGGAATGAATCTGATTAGTATTAAAATCTATAGATAGAGTTGTCGTAAAGTTGAAAATTGGGATTATTTCTATAGTGTCGGTTATTAATATAATAATGCATTTGTCCGAAATGAGTGGTGTTTCTGAAAGGAGTATTAAAAAGTGCGTCAGGAGTATGCATTACCTGCTGGTCTCCAACAACCAAACGCATTGACGATATTACCATAACAAAATGGATGATCGACTGAAAGTTGGTTCAAACATAACCTAATTTCTAATTTTCCAAAAAGAACGATGGATAATGTTCCTAACACTGCTTCCAATAAAGAAAAAATAAAAATATGGTTTCTATCGAAAGACACATTTTTTAAAGAAAATTATTTAAAAACAGAACTGTTGGAAGTTGTCAGTAGTTATAGGGCAAATTACGATATATCTTGTGTTGAATCTTGTGTTGTGTTGAATCACGTACGTAGATTTTTCAGCCAGGAAATCCTTCACCTTCCTGGTCCCCGTTTTCCTTCTACTTTTCCTTGTAGAATTAATTCTAGCAACCCATATCTTTCGCTGTTCCCCATGATGTGACCGAGGTGTTCGATTTTTAATGTTTTTATTGTGGTTAACAACTGTTTCCGTTTTTTGCATTCTTAATCGATATATAATTGGAGATATTGTACAACACAAGTTGAAAATTCTTCGTCTTCCGCCCTAAGACTGTGAGCTCAACCCCACACAGTTGGTATAGAGCGTATAAGTGAGAAAATATATTGCCGCACACAACAAAATTTTAAAGAAAAAAGAAGTTAGAAATTTAAATTTAAATAAAAAACATTCATATTGTTAACGTTTTGGGCATATTTTATTATTAGTCAATTTTCAAAACAATAATTCAACCTCGAAAGGGGTTTAACAAAATTGTTTTTGTATGGTTAAGATTGTTACATCTTAAATTATTGTTTTCAAAATGGTCTAACATAAAATAGTCTGAAACTTCAACACTAAATGTTTTTTATTAACATATTTTTTTGTTAACCGTTCAGGAGTGAATTGAAAGAAACAATAATCATTCAGTACCGTCAGAAAATCATTAATTGTTTGATGACCGCTAAGAAAAAGAAGCAATTGAAAGTATTAGCAGGTAGATACTTGTAGAGGATTATCGCTATTAACTGCTATTGGATACAAAAGGAGAATGTATTTATGATAATTCACAGAATGGGCGAAATATGGCAAACCCATTTGCAATTTAAATCCACACTGAATTTAACCTTTGAAACACAGTATAGAGGGAGTGTTATCATGTAAAAAGAGATGTAAAGCAACATGCGATTGAAAAAAGTTGAATTACTTTGCTCTTTAGCATGTACCAGTTATCAAAGTCAATCATGATCCAATTGTGAATCGCTATCAGAAGAGGTTTAGTACGATATGAGCGAGAAGACATCTGATGAATCACTATTCAAACAATAATTGATTTTCACCCAAAAGAAAGAAGAGGAACAAAACCAAGAACAAGAACTTCAAGAAGCAGTAGAAGTATTCTATAAGTACGAATCGGACGAATAATTTGACAGTGCTATAAAATTAACCATTTTTACAATGATATTCAGAATTAGAATTAAAAAGATAACTATGGCTATGAAACTATTTTCTTGTGGCATGTTATTGGACTCAATATTTTATACACATGGGAATAAAACACAATGAATTGTAATAAAAATTACAGACCAAAGTAAAAAGTAAGAAAAAAAAAGGAATATGACGACTGCCGAAAAGAAACAAGAAAAATAATACGCACAAAGAAAAGAAACTGAACAACAAAAATATGAAGCTATGGAGAGAGACCATACCAAACCAGGCTCTAGAGAATTCTATAAAGCAATTTCCTCTGAGAAAAGGGGACATAGAACCAATTCCATCCATACACTGAGAGACAATCAAGGCCGTATGATAATCGACGGTAAAGAAGTAACTGAAGAATGGAAAAAGTATTTTAGGGACCTTCTAAACATCATACAGGAAGAACAGCACAAATGCCCGTCAAAAAATCACTGCTTTGAAGAAACTCAAAAGGCCTGAAATAAGCTGAAAAATCACAAATCGCTGGTACGGACGAGATACCAGTAGAACTTTTGATATATTGGGGAGACGCACTACATCGTCAAATAGACCAGTTAATAACGCACATATTATGGTTAGAAGAAAGGATACCAGCACGATGGAAGGAAAACATAATAGTGCCCATCCACAAAAAAGGGGACAAAACAAAATGCGCGAATTATAGAGGAATTTCACTCCTAAACACGGCATATAAAACCCTATCAAACGTCATTCTTAGTAGACTAATCCCTTATGCTGAAAATGTCCTAGGCGAATATCAAGCCGGCTTTAGGACAAATTGATCAACAATAGATCAACTATTCACGCTGAGACAACTTCTAGAAAAGGGAGGGGAGTATAACAGACCCATACACAATCTTTTTATAGAAAGAAGCCAAGTATGGAATGCCATGGCGGAGTTCAACTCATTCGAATGACCAAAGTCTGTATGGAGGGTGGAATATCTAAGGTACGTGTAAATAATAAACTGTCTGGCAGCTTTGAAATCAACAGTGGACTCAAACAGGGTAATGTGTTATCTCCACTACTTTTTAACCTTGTATTAGAAAAAGCCATGAGGTCGGCCGAAATAAAAATAGAATTGCTACCGGTTCAAGGTCCCAAGCTGTTACTCGCATATGCAGATGACATAGATCTCGTTGGAGACTCCATTCTATCCACGAAAGACATTTTCAACACGGTGGAAGGAGCAACAAGTGAAGTAGGGCTGAAGATTAATGAAGAGAAGACGAAATATATGTGTATAAATCGAAAGACACGAAGAAACACCTTCAATTTAGAAAGAGTACAACGTTTTAAGTATCTGGGGGCCGTAATCACAGCTGACAACGATGTTACTGAAGAAATAAAAGACAGAATCTAATCTGCAAACCGCGGTCTATTTACATTGGATAAGCTCATAAAACCAAAAAATCTCACAATAAGTTCAAAGATCAAAATCTATAAATCCATCGTCAGACCTGTAATAACATACGAATACGAAACGTGGACCATGACCAAAGCAAACGAAGAAAAGCTCAGACGGTTTGAAGGAAAAATACTTCTCCGGAAAATGAACATTCCATTTGACTCTAGGTTGGTGGAAGACCGAACAAATTGGAAACAAGTTGTACCGTCAACCAAGACCCACCCAGGGTTGTAGCGCTGCGTGATGATGAATAAAAATTACAAACAAAACAAAAGGCACAATCAAAGACAAAATCAAAATGAAAACAGACGCCATTATGACAAAATCAAAAATGTAATTTTTATTAGAAGTAATTGTGGTTTATTCACATGTATAAAATATTCAATCAAAAGATAATTCTTGTGAACCGAATTATATAAGCTTATTTTAGAAAAAGGCAATATCAACATTTGAGCAATCCCTATTCGATGGTTTGGTACCTATAACAAATAATAACATAATTTTTATTCAGTATCCTGTGCATTAGAACAAAAATTCTAAAATTTTGTTGTATTTTTTAACGAAATATTGATTGATCCCCGTACAATTTATACACGCTCACATAAAAAATTTGACTTCTGCCCTATTAATCGCTTTTCGCTTAGCAAATATTGATTCTATTAATAAATACTTACGTATGTCCACTCATTATACAAGTTATCGAAAACTATATTTGGTAAATTACTACGAACACAGTTTTTTCAAACAACACTGAGAATCTATTGAACGTAAATTTATAGTAACACCATGCAGAGCTTTGAGGTTAAAGTAGTTTACAAACAAAACTAAACCATTGATTTTTACTTGGTGACAGTGCCAAACTGTGGCACGCCATGTAGCAACCGGTTGAATTATAAAATTTTATACACACGCAAGGTTTTGTGTATTCCGTTTAGTTTCTAAAAAATAAGAATGCACGGAAGAAATTGATCGCTCTCCAAACACCGCGGAAACTAACTTGAGACTCCGTAATCTCCGTATTCACCTCTCATACTGTGACTGTGAAACAGCACCAGCCGATCGCAGGTAATAGCTGAAAAGTAAGCAATAGCCAGATATGATCATTAAAAGTAAACAATGTATTTTGTGTGATTTACATTTTAGAGAACTAAGGTCACGGCTATTGTTATTCAATTGAACATACATTAAATGTTGTAGAATCGAGGAGCGGCAATAAAAATATAGCTTCTGTATCTACAAAATTTGTTCTGTTAATAAATATAGTATTTTATAGATAAATGTTTACTGTTTACTCATTGATTATCTGCTTGTTTTTGGAACTGTAATGAGGATATCACTTGTTTATGTAAGATTTTATTTAGAAATTATAAAATATGTGAACAATGCCAAGGTATCTCGTACGAATCTTGCAATGTGGGGGAGATATGGGTACACAAAATTAGAAAACAAATGTGAACAATTGGAATAATATCGGAAGAATGAATAGAAGCTACACAAGGTGAGCTATAAATGGAAAAGAGTAAAGATATCTATAATACCTTCAAACACGTGGAAGTTTGAACACTTTGAACTGACCAAAGCTAGAACCGTTACAAGGTAAATAGCAAAATATACCTAAATGAAAATATTGAGTCCATACTATTCAATAAATGATGATAAAGAAAATAAGCAAATAATATATCGAGTATCATGGAAAAGAGGAAAAGAAACATCTTAAATAATATGTAGTAACGATCTTGTTCATAGATTTCCAAAAGACTTGGAATCATTCCGCAAGAGATAATATCGAAACTAGACTGACTGAAGAAATAGAAATTCGTCGTTTGTGTTAGGGTTGTATATTGTCTCATCTTTTAATAAACCTGTACAGTGAGTCTATTTGTCAAAAAGTTTTTGATGATACGTCGTAAGAAATAGTAGTTAATGGAGTAGTACTAGACAGTATCCCGAACAAAGTATGTACCTCCTAGTGGCGGAATTCGGGCAATAATACATTTGTTTATAGGGTAGTCCCTACAGTAGGAATTCTCTCCTATGTCGAAAAATGCAAACGGGTGTTTTTTTATTATGGAATGCAGTTAAAGTTAATTTAAGGCAGTTGATAACAAATGCAGGAGTAAAGAAACAAACGCTCATATTCTCATATGAGCGTCTCAGGCTCATATCGGTATTTATTTGTAATGAGGAATCATACTATAGAGTTCCTCGAGAGATTCTGTGATGGACGCTCAATAAGAAAGGAGTCCCTCGTGAATATGTAAAGATTGTGAGAGATAGATTGGTAGCAACAACTATTAACATCTATGCCCGCATTACAGAGTAATGCGGACGTAGATGGAGATGCAAAGGCCGACATACCAAATAATGGTTATGTCCCACGTGACATGACGGACAGACGACATAGAATATATTTTCTGATACCATCGACGGCGTTCATGGAACCTTAGTATAAAAGAGTTACTAACCCACTAGTTACCACTATATTACAGTCCTCTCGGATACTTTCCTTCGCCACTGCCTGATGTGTCTGGTTTTAAGATTTTCCTCTACTAAGTCTATCCACCTTTTACGGGGCCTTACTCTTGTACTATTATGTGTGGGATATGCTCCACCAAAGAAGACTATACCACAGTTTCTCCTGCTTGTCGTAAAAGGTGACTGAATAGAGCAGCACTCCTGCTGTCCCCAACTCTAATCCCTATTCCCAACCCCTTGACCGGAGCAAACTGTGGCTGGTTCGAATCCTATCAGCAGCAACGTACAAACCGGGACGGCTAACGGACAACGACCATAGCTACGGAATAACCACTTTGTTGCGTAACAACAATATCTAATATTTTTATTTTATTTTTGCATCATTATAGCACACTGTATATAAGTTTAGATTTATACAATTCTTTTGTACCATCTAATAATCTGTACGGCACCGATAGATTGCATTCAAATAACTTTCTAGACATAAGCTTTTAAAATCGGCAAAGAATCATAACAATGAAAGAATTAGTAGTTCCAAATTATCGGTTTGAGTCATTTGAAAATTCCCAATATTAAATAAAGTTGAAAAATACCCTTCTCAGGTAGTTTTACCAATAAAAGGAAAGTCGAAGGTATTTCAAATGTAAACATATCCTTTATATACGTCGAGGGGGTCCGGAGGACATTTCTGAATCTTAAGAAATGATTACGAGTGTAGTGATTCAAGGCAGCTAGTGGACATCAGTTCGAGTTCAAATCCAGCATTGGATGAGCTCTAGACTCCTGCTCGCGCTAGCCGCACGTCAGAAGATTTAAGACATTCGGTATATTACTCAGTTCGTGTCAATATTGTATCACCGACAAGTTATCTAGCTTTTTGCACATAAATTCAAACTAAATTTCATAAATCAGCTATCGTAAGCAAGTTATCGGCGTCCAAAATACGTTGTAATTGTTTAAATATACTTGTTAAAACGTTCTTTTCGAAACTTTCATTTGTCCCAGTTTTCTGGGTGCTCCTTCAAAGAAGTATACAAAGTGAACCTATTTCCCTAAGGAAAAACCTTGTTCCCCATGCGAAAAAACCAACGACCTATGATTGGTGCGTGAAACAAAGGCATCAGGACAAGGTGTATGGACAAAAACACCTGCATCTTCGCTCAGGCTTAATGATGGAATTGCTATTGCGAGGCAGGCAAAATGCGTATTGCCCAGGAACTACAGAAATACGAAGTAGACATAACCACTCTTCAATAATATAGATTTAAAAGGCATGGATGCACAAATAAAAAAGGCTACAGTTTATATTACTATGGAGCAGAAGGACAAGAAGATTTTGGAGTGGGTTTTATGGTAAATTATAATTGCCGCAGTTCGATATTAGGCTTTACTCCAGTTAATGATAATAATATGTAAAAACAAAGATGTTAAACCACAACGATTAAGATGGTATGGGTAGTTCTAATGAATAAGTAGCGACTTTCGAAAGCATTCTTAAATCGGAAACCACCTGAGAGGGAGAAAGGTGGAAGACAACAAAAGCTTAGAAACTAACATCAAGAAGGAAACTATAGATACAAAAGATCTAAATAATGGTAAGCGACGACAGAAGCTATGAAAGCTGTTTTATATAATATATTAAATTAATTTATTATATAAAATAATAAAATATAATGTGTGCCAAGGAAATAAGATTTTTGACGTGACACTAACCACGCCAGGCAAATAACAGTTGTTTTGAATAGTATGGCCCTCTATAACAAGAACCTATATGTTTCCTGTAGTCGGTTTTTTTTGTACTTAATTAATTGTTAAAAAAGACCAACCGGAGCTCCTCAAACTTTTCGTGGATCTCGTCGGACAATCTGTTCGGCAACATGCTACTAAACTTCGCCTCAGTGATTGTTCAGTAGGGCGTATTTTGTATATGGAACTTTACTTTCATCCCTACAAATTGGCCATTGTGCAACAGTTACAGCCGGGAGATTATGCACAACGAATGAATCCGCACGTGAGATGCAAGCAATTATCGAGCAAAATGAAAACTTCATTTTGTTCATGAGTAATGAAGTTCATTTTTATCTTAATGGCATAGTTAACCAACAGAATATCCATTATTGGAGTAATGACAATCCGCGACGTTTATATGAAAGAAAATTGACGGTTTGGTACGCTGTATCGCAAAGTAGCACCATCGCCCCTTACTTATCCGAAGATGGTAATGGCAATGCTACTGTTACCGTGAGCGTGAACTCAGAGCGCTAACCGGCGCAAATTGAGCACAGCCCACGCACATCTCAAGCGCAGCACACGCGTGGGTTATTTTGTAAAACGTGGTTTTAGACGGAGCGACGCATAACCCAAACCACGACCAGACTTGGTTGGCGTGGATAGAGTTGTACTAGCAACTCAGTTTCGTGGGTCGTGGGTCTCTACCTAACCTTAGTTATGATGTCACAAAATATGTTTTAAAAACGTTTAAAAAACTGACTGAAATTTAAATCTTTAAATGAGTCTGTGACTAGGAATCGAATACTTATCCGAGAACCGAAACCTCGAGTATAAAACCCTTTTACAAGAAAATATTATACAACAAACAGACTACCGAGTTTTTACGTGAGGTGCACTCGGAAGCTTATATTAATTATGCGTTGTTCCGGTTTTTAGTTTCCTAACTTGACAAATTCCCAGAACCAAGCGGTCGGGATCACAATGGATTTGGATCCATTTATTATTGTTTTATTAGCTTTTATGAGATCATGTACTTTGTAAAGTACCGCTTAGGTATCAAGAACAAATACTGCGAACACTGTGAAGAATACAAATATTTGACATGGGCGTGGGCTGTGTTCAATATGCGTTATTATTGATAAACGTGTACTTGGACTATCTCTCTCTTTTCACCTTAATTACGACCACGTGTTATAACAAGATGGGGCAACCGCCCACGCGGCCATAGCAACGATAAACGTTATTCGCCCTTTCTTTGGTGGTCGCTTTATTTCCAGGTTTGTTGATGTTCATTGCCACCGCAGTCTCCAGATTAATTAATCTGCGATTATTTCATATGAGGATACCTCAAGGGCTTGTGTATACGAGCACAAGTACCGACCTCTAGTCGATTTAAAAAAAGGCAATTCGCGTGGAAGTCGCTGAAGTTGAGGGAACAATGTTGGAGAGAGTCTACGTGAACTTTCAAGGACTCTGTTTAAGAATAAAATCAAATCCATGGTTAGTAAACTTTATAATTTATGTGGTGAATCAGATATTACTTTTAGATTAATTGTTGATCAGGGTAGTACGACCTTAGCTAAGCGAAACAAATTTTCAATAACGACTTATTAAGTATTCCATCTGGCCAAAATATTTCCAGCCCATTGCGGATACAATCTATATTTTGATATTTTTTTAATTCGTCGAAAGTGGTTAATGTGACTTTGTTTTTGTCTTTTGCGTATCCTCTATTCTTCTCTTCTCTTTGTCTGGTAATCCTCTACAGTTGCTCTAGTTCGTCTAATAAGCATCTTTCTGCAGGCTTCATTTTTATCTTTTGTTGCAT